CTGCTGCTTTCATTTTTCTGGACACCTTGTTTCAAATAGCTTTACTGTTGTAATGTTCTTTCTGGTTGGTAGACATTTTGGAGGTAGGCATGAGTCTCTTACCTTCTCCACTTCACCTGTATTGTCTTTGAAATTCCACATCAACCCCTTCTAAGGTTTAGGACCTCCTGTTCTGAGTGGTGTATACACAAATCCCCTAGGGTGGGTGGTGATGGCACAGTGGGGTTTGGCAGAACTGAATTATAACTCGCTTTCTGGTCTGGTGGCATGAATGTTGGCTGGTGAAATCGATGATGGAGGAATGTTGGCTGCAGTTTATAGTTTACTCTGAGGGAATATCTGAAAGTGGTAAAAATTTAGCATCTAAAATGCCCCCAGATAAAAGTCCTTCCTATAGAAGAGCTCAAAATAAATCCATTTAAAAAATTTCACAATTTCCATAAACCTCTGAAGGAAGCAGAATGATGTTCTATGCAGCAGTGGATATTTCTACACTCAGTATCTGCTGTGGTCTAGATCAACCCTGGCATAGTCAGGGTGTCTGAGACTGTTTCTGGCTTTGTTTTAAGCCAGCGTCCTTTCTGGGAAGGTAGCTGTGCCCAGCTGGCTCCTGAAGGGATTACTGGGGTCCACATGCTTTGTGCTTCTCCTGTGACTCCTATTCCTATAAAGTCATCTTTGCTGAACTTTCCCTCAGTAGTAGAATGTTTAATCCAAATTATGAAGGATCCTTCTAAAAGATATTCCAACTCTGTGAGCATGACTACAGACTTCTTTATATTTTCTTCTCACCAAGTTTTCTAGTGCTGTAGAAAGATTCATGTGCTGGAGTTTGATAATCAGCATAGTGGTGTTGAGGTGGTGGAACCTGTAAGAGGAGGGGCCTCATGGGAGGTGATTGGGCCATGGAGGTACCTTGGAAGAGATTCACAGTGCTTCCAGGAAGTCACATGGGTAATGCCAGAGCTAGCCCAGCTACTTTTCCCTGCAGTCACAGGAAGCATGGCTCACAGCTAATGTCTCTACCCTACACTCATCCAAGCTTCTAGTGCTGGTGCCTCATTCTCAGCTATTATAATCTTTTGCCTTTTCTTGGGGATTCCACCTGGAACTCCTTTCCTTCAGTGTATCACTTTTTCTATAAGCTTTCTCCTCTGTGGAGCTCTCAAGGCCCTACTGGTGACTGACACCCAGAAGGCTAGAGTGCTCAGCAGAGGGTGAGTTTTGACCCTGAAACTAAATGGACCACAGAGCATCACTCCTGGTTTAATTGTTCAGGCTGCATTAGAGAGGTTGATTCCTTTTCATTAATGATTATTACTTTATTCAGAGTTTCCATTTCTTCTTGAGTCAATGTTTGCAATTTATCTGTTTCTAGAAAATTTTTTGTTCCATTAATTTTCAAATTTATTGATATAAGCCATTTAATTCATTCATTAAAAAATAAAAATAAGCTATTCAGACTGCAAAGTTGTGAAGTCACTTTTGTCTTACAAAAGCTCCCCAAATGAAAGCATTCCATCTAAAATGGCCAGTCATGTCTGTTCTAGACTCCAAACATGGACGAATCCAAATCATGTTGCTGTTTACAAGCTTATCTCTAGGACGACCCACTGGGACAGCACCAAAACAGCTTCTCTTTTGAATGGTTAGGAGGGTTGTATTTTTTTTTTTTTGTAGTGGAATTTGCAGAGTTTATTTTATTTATACTTTTCTATTTCCCAAACTTTCTACAACAGACATTTTTAATTTAAAAAATAATTTTAAACACTTTTCTTCAAATTCCAGTTTTCTTAATTTCTCACACCAATCTACTTTTCAATTTCCTCAAGATTTCCCAAACATAGCTGTTCTTCACAAGATATTCTTCTTCCTGGGCCACAGTATCTATCCAACTTCCCAGCAAGAGTTCATAGAATTAGGGAAACACATATGCCAAGCATTCCACTCCCATGTGGAATGGGTTTCACTCCCATTCTCACAAAAGCAGTATGTACATCTGGGTATCATGGTACATTCCTGTAATCCCTGCTGCTCACGAGATGAGGCAGGAAGATTATGCATTTCAGGCTGGCCTGGGCAAAGATAGCAAGACCCTGTCTCAAAACAAAAACAAAAACAGAAGGGCTGTGTAGCTCAAGTGTAGAGCCCTTGCCTACATGCAGTAGTAGGCCTTAGACGTGTGTCAGTGTGCGTGCATGTCTGGTATTGGGAATAGAACTCAGGACTTGAGCTTGCTAGGCAAGAGCTCTAAGGAGGGTTGTATTTTTTAAGTCCCCAAGAGGGAAAGCTCTAAATAAAGATAAAGTTTATTCCAACAACAAAATCAACTATAACTTTCCCCTTCTCTTCAAATTCATTGGAGTATTGTCCTTGGAAGGTTTGTAGGTGGGATTTAAAAAACTCCTTTTGGTGGACATTTTAAAATGTTGCTTGATGTTAGAGTAGGATGAAAAGTCTAATCACCCACTTCCCTTTGCTACTCCCACTCAGAGAATAATGGTAGCACTAAGCATGACCACAGGCCACAGGTCTGTCCCCAGCCTCCCAGTTGTGGATGGATGGAGGTGCAGGGCTTGTCCTCATTGTGGTCACTTGCAGCAGCATTCAGCTGAGATGCTGGAGTTTGGTCCTTTACCCTGAGCCTAAGTACAGTGTGGGGAAGGCTGGCAAAGCTACACTAGGCTGGGCTTAGTCTTCAGGCCAGGGTGTTCTCTTAATGCATTAACCCTAATTTGCATGACTGCTCAGAATATTCTTAAGACTGGGCCCCTTTCAATCACTGTGACTGTCGCTTAAATCTAGATAGCAGGCAGTCTTCTGGGGTCCACTGTAGCCACAGTGTGTCAGGCCAATGCCCCCAGGGCCATACCAGGGTGTGTTTGTGTTGCCAAAGACAGTGAGATTCCAGGGAGGGGAAGACCGGTATGGAGTGTGTTGATGCTGGTGGATGAGCTCCTCTTTACTGGGAACTAAAGGCTAATGTGACTCTCTTAGGTGCAAAGCTGGGATCCCATTACTTCTCCATCAGTCTCTTTAAGAGCTGGAACTCTTTGCTCACTGCACCCACAGCATTTCATGGTACTTACTAGGAGAAAAATAGTTGGCTTCTATAAATGGAGTTGGCATCTCTCCTATACTTTATTTCTATTCCCCTTTATGTTTGGGCAGCATATTGGCCTGTGAATAGTGGGGGTGGGAGGGAACCCTGGTGACCTCCTTTCTAGTGTTCATGACCTAGTTTATTTATTCATTGCCTTCTTTGCTTTTAGCAAAGACCAGAAATGAGGGGAGGCTAATTAGCTGTTAGCAATGTGTCAGGCAGGCTGTGTGGCACCTTTGCAGTCACCAGAGGGTCACAAAGAATGCCAGATGTTGTTCAGAGTGGTAGCACATGGACTGGAAAACTGAGGTTTTGAGGCCAACTCCAATACTGACTATTATGTTCCTGCTGATGGTTGATTAGAAGAAAAATCATTGAAGGTGGAAGGAGGTTTAGTGTTCTCCTCTCCTTCCCTTAGAATGGTCCCACCTGCGGGAGGGGGTAAACGTGGATCTGAAGGGTGTTGAGATGTATTCCAAAACAACTCCTTTCTTTCCATATTTTTCTTCTTCTGGTTATTGCAATTAGGTACACAGCTTTGGGGTTTATGTTCTCCATAGAACTTAGTGTGGCAGGGATGTAAGGCATCAGCAGCAACCAGTCCTGGTGACAGTTATTAGCAAGCAGCTACGGGGAGTCAGTCTTGCTCTGATGCCCGCCATGGGAGGAAGAGAAATACAAGGCTGTGTATCAACAAGAGGCAAAGGCTGTAGCTCTTTGCTTCTATAGTTCCCTCAGAAGCACAGAGAAGATGAACCTTCAAAGAATGCTGAGTAAAACACACGCCTGCATGCACCATGTATGTTCACACACAGACTTAGATTGCAGATCAGTTGTGTGTCTACTGTTCAGTAGCCCTCAAACTGGAGGGGCCTCTTGTTAAAACACAGCTCTGCTGCAGAAAAGTTTGGGTGGGTCAGAGCCAGGACTGAGCAGAGTCCCTACTGCACTTGTAACAAGCTCCCAGGTGCTCCCCCAACTAGACTGAGTAGCCGGACATGCTGGATGTATTTGTTTAGCTGTTTATAGTGAGCAGTGATGGTTCCATGCTATTGGTAACATTACATATAATGAAAGCTTCCTTCCCAATGAAATGGGTTCCAGGAGCTACTCAATTCCTGCCCAGTCTTAGAGAATTTTGCTTTATGAACTGGTGTCTTATACTGGTCTATTTGGGGATTTCTTTTAGCTTTAGCTTTACACCTGTAATACTCTGTTTTTTATTTCTATAATAAAATACCCGAGACTTTCTTTATAAGGATAGCCTTATAAAGAACAGAGGTTTACTTATGTCAGTTTTGGAGGTTCAAAAGCATGGTGTTTGCTTTGGCTTAACTGTGGTGAGGATCTAATGGCAGATGGTATGACAGTGGTAAGAGAAAGAGAAAGAGAGATCACCTAGAGAGACAGGAAACTAATGAGAGGGACGCACACTGCTGATAACAGCTCCCACTTGAGAGAACTAACTCCAGGTCCCATGAGAACAACCTCAATCACATCCGAGGGCAATATCCCCAATGCCTTTCCACGAGGCCCCATAGTTTACAGATCCCACTTCCTCAACATCACACATCGAGGACAAATCTTCCAACACATGAGCCCTTGGGGATAAACCACATCCAAACCACAGCAGCACCACAGTGGAAAACTTACTTTCTACCACTGAATCAGATGTGGAGTAACAGTGACACCAAGGCTTGTCCTGAAATCCAGGCCGTTATAAGGATTGCTACCTCCACCCATGTGTGTTCTGTGGCAGGTGGGAGAGTAGCAGGGGGCTTTTTTTTTTTTTTTTCAGTTCTCAACAAATATGAGATAGAAGTTAATTTTTTAAATTCCAGGTTATTCACCCATGTCAGATGGAAACATGAACGCAAACTTGTTGCATCTGCTTTACCTGGTTGTGTTTGATGTCTTCAGTGGGTGCACCATACGAATTCCTATACAAAGTTGAAATACCAGTGTTTTGAGCTAAAAGCAACAGGAAAACAAAAGTATTAGCAAAGCAAGACAGTTTCAAGTGAGGAATAGTGGTTATTGAGGCAAGTTCTTGCCCTGACAAAGTGTGGTGTCTTGTGGACCGTTCCAAGTGGAGACAATTCTTTGGTTCTGCACAGCATTTTCTATACAGAGTTTTGGCAAGAAGAACAGTTGTTTTACAAACTCCCTGCAACCTATCAGCTCCTTCTAATCACTTTCACTTCACAGACAGGGTCAGGACAGCTGCAGCACACAGACGGTCATCTTGCAGGTTTTATTACATTCTTCTCTGGTAAAAACTGGTGGATAATGAAAGCCTGTCACCTGTACTGAGCATGCAGGAGTCTGTATCAGCAGCTTAGTTTTTAGTGGAGAACAACAAGAATAAAATTTCTAATTTGATCTCACAGAACTGCTTGGTCATCTTTCAGACAGTTTATTTCTCAATGGACCAAAGGCCCAGCAGAGAGGCCACCTAAATGTCCCTCATTGTGTCTAGAGGGTTGTGACTTTGGAATCCTGTAAGGCATAGAGACAGGAGTCCCCACTCTGTCTTCTGGCCCACATGGGGTCAGGGGAAAGGAAGAGAGGCCCCTCACTTTCCACCTCTTCCCTCAGAGACAAGGCCACTGTGGACACTGGGTCAGCAAGGTTTAAGTTCACACCACTCATGATTAGTACCTGAAGGCCTACCATAGTAGCTGTGCGGTAAAACTCTTGGAAATTTTTGCTTAGGAAGTGAGGCTGAGAGCCTATTTTCAATTTTAAAGAGCACTCTACTATACTGTCTGGTTGAATGCACCTTGTTCCTGTCTTTGTCTTATCACAGAAACCACCATTCTCTCTCCTGGACAACTGAATCTTCCTTTAGGGCCCAACTTCCTGTCTGCCCAGCTCTGCTCCTCCATTCTTCCTGTTCTGGAGGGAGTGCTGTGTTATACAGATTGGATTGTGTCACTTTCAATGCCCTTCACACTGGGATTGCTTTCCATTATGGCCTCAAGGCTCTGCACCATCTGGCCTCTGCCTGACATTCAGCAGAACTTCTCTTTCCTCTTCTCTTGTTATGGAGCCCTGCCACACTGGCCCTCTTTCCTCTATTGACGGAGCCAAGTTCGTGTGGCTTCAGGGAGATTGTACTTGCCAGTCTTTCTCCCCGGAACTTGCTCCCCTCGGACTCTGGACTGACTGCCTTCTTATTGGTGATTAGGTCAGCTCTGGTGTCTCCACCTTGTCCACAGGAGATAAAGTCACCCTTCCTACCTGGCTCCCTGTCTCATTGCTCTGTTCAGTCTCTCCATCCTACTCAACATCGTGTGATTTTATCTTTGCATTTTTGGGGGTAGAACTTTTTACACTACTATAGTCTTGACCTCCCTCGCTGTTATCTTCATGGCTTTTGAGCTAAAGATATATCTACTGGAAGTTCTTTCCTCAGCTCTCCAGCCCACTTACCTGTTTAAAGGAGACTGTGGTTAATGGTTGTGCTTGAACTACCCCCTTGGATGCATGAAACAGAGGTGTTCAAGGATGCGCTGCCCTGGTACATCTGAGCTAAGAGTGGATTCATAGAGAAAGGCCTTTCCTTTTTGTATCATCCCCTAAGTGATCCAGTTTCCAACTGAATCAACATACTGAAGATTTGAGAAGATTTAAAAGGTAGAAGAGACACACTGACAATAACACAGAGGCCATCAGGTAAAAAGGTATTTGGGAGGCTCAGAGAGGAGTGTGAAGTCCCCAGGTAAACTTAAAAGTCAGGCTGGGTAGCCAGCAGCCACACAGCTCTGTCCTGAGGTGAGTTTCTGTACACTAGAGGTCCATGACCATGAGGACTGCTGTCTAAGTCCAGCATGCCTGAATGAACAGTTGACTTTGGCTTTCTGAGATCCCTCAGTGGCAGAAAAATACTGAAGAGAGAAGATGTCACTTAAGCCAGAAAATGAATCCAGTAAAGGAAGGAAGGGGGATGCTTGGGTTAAAAACTTAAAAGGATCAGAATTTTTCAGTGTCAAGTACAGGAGATGACAGCACAGGAAAGCACCAGGTTTTCCACAGCAGAAAACCTTTCCCGGGTGCAGAATGGCAGGATGTCTCTGATGCCCTAGAACGAAGGAATGTGGAGGAATTTCAGATATCTTCCAATACAGTGAACATTGTGTGTCCCTCGGATTTAGCCTTAAATAAGAAAAAAAATGTTGTTTTTGATACAAAGGCCACAAAAAAATCTGATTTTATAAGTAAAGCTTAAATGATGGGTGCTTGCCAAAGAGCTCTGGAGCAGAGGCTGGCAACTCATCCTTTCTATTCCTACCTGAGTAGGCTGGGATCTTAATTCACACTCATGTGAGGGTCAAATACCACTACCAGACTCACTACCACACCATAACTAGCCTTATCACCAAAACTACCACCTGGACCAAACCTCTACCATCTCCAAACTCACCAACACCTTCACCCCTGCCATCAACACCCTCACTAACACTTTTACTTCCTCCATTGACACCCTACCAATACCTCTGCCATCACTAGGCTCTCCAATTCCTTCACCTCCTCCACTGATACCCCACCAACACATAAACCTCCACATTACCACCCTCTCTAACACCTTCACTGTGACCCTCACCAACACTTTCACCTCTATCATGACCCTAACCAACACCTTCACCTCTACCATTGCCAGACTTGTAAGACCTACATCTTGGACACTGCCATCCTCACTACCACCCCCACCATCCTCATTACCAATATACCTCACCATTATCACTGTCTCTAAGCCACCACCACCACCATCACCACCGTTTTACCTCATCACCATCACCACCATCACCATCATCACCATTGCTGTGATAATAACAACTAGCTGCTATATAGCACTTATTGGTTTAAGAGGACTTTCTTATATAAACATGTTCAATGAAAATTTCAATGTTTTTCTAGGCTTACTACAGAGTGATAGTATAATTTTGTACATTTTAAAGTAATTTAGAGCAAAGCTGTTTAAGCTTCAAAATAAGCTCGAATAATTCCATACATCTCAACACTGAAGTTGTCAAGATCCCTGCCATTTCCTAGGAAGACTGAACATCAGAAACATATTAGATTTTATGTTTTATTTTATCATGTGTATAGGACATAATCATGCACTAGTGAAACTTCCAATAGAAACACATACTTCAAAGCCTTCTGAATGATTCTACTAGGCCACAGAGTTAAAGAGCATCACTCAAGTTAAATGATAATAACACAAGCAATCTCCCAATTATTCTTATAACTGTAATCTTAACTTTCTGTCTGAGACTTCTGCTGACACAGCTACCAGGGCAATAATAATCTTAAACTGAATGGGTCAGATGAATTTGGTGTCACTACTAATTCAGACTAATCTGTACAAATTAGGTTCTCCACGGAATGTCTCCACTCTAGGGACCCAGGATTAAGACTCACAGTTTTCTTTGTTCATGTTTATTTATGACTAGTGCAACATTCATGGGGCTGAAAGAAAAACAATGAAAGAATAATAAGTGATGGTCATGTGATGAATCCAGTTTTCCCATTCAAGGGACATTTTAGAAGCTAGGGTGACATACTCCTTTGTAGGGTCTGCACATGGAGGCAGAATGTGGACCTGGGGGTGGGGATGAAAAACATCTGTTTATTATGATTTTCTTTATGCAGCCGTGCAGAGTTCACATGGAAAGCACTGCCGCTGGGGTAAATACATTTGCTATTAGAAAAATTTATCTTAGCTGCCCTGGGTTTGGAAGACATTTTAATAAATCATCCAATTTGTCTATTCTGCTTCCCTGCAGGTCTGCAGAGAGCTGTGCCCTATGATTTTAAGATTCTCTGATGAGGGTCTCAGTGTCTGTTTAGAATTGCACCCTTTGCACCCCAGTGTTCTCTTAAAGCTCCATCATTTACGGTCTATTTCCAGGAGGGGCTCATATCCATGTGTTTGTGGCAAAGAAGCCACACATGTGGTCCTGTGTTAGAAGCCTGTGGTTTTTAAGATGTAAGCCCCTCTACAGCCACATCCCCAAGTCCTACTTCTTGAAGGAGGGGCCATAGGGCAAGAGGTATATGGAGATCCTGAATGAGGCTATGAATGCCCAAGAAGAACTGCACAGAGTAGGTTAACTAAGATCGAGCCTGGTTGTTAGACAGGATGGAAAGGGCATGCTGGAAGGAGTAGCTGACAGGCACCAAGCACACCAGCTTTGGCCTCCTTAGAGTCTCAGCTGATGAGAAGAAAGCCAATGGGTAGGACTGAGATAGTAAGAGATAGAGGAGAACCGAGATTAATGTGGTCATCATCTCTAATGAAGCTTCCTGGCAGTTTGTCGTGGTAAGAAGTTGACATTATACTAAGTGGAGAAAATGTCTCAACGGAGTTCTGTGGGGTTTTCTTAAGCCTCCCCTCCCTTCCTCTCTTCTACCTTCCCTTCTCTTTCATTCCCTCCATTCCTATGGGCAAACTCTAGCTATACTGTAGCCACCATCTTGGAATCTCCTCCACCTTGGGTTGTGTCAATGAAGGAGAAATCTATAGTGAATCCTCTCTCTAACTCTAAGAGAGAGTATAAGCTGGGCAGTAAAGAAGTAAGATTGGAATAAAATGTGTGCAGAGAATATTTTCTCTCAGCTCTTTCTGAGACTAAGAGGTTCAATTTTTATACCTCTTGCTTAATCTCCTCATTTCCAATTCCTGGTACGCATGGCTTTCAAGATCTCAAGTGACCCAACAGCTACAAAAGCTGGAAAGCATGGCCTACGGCATCTGCCCTGTGTTCTGCCCCAGGTGAAGTCACCCTCTCTGAGGAGAAAGTGTGTAATTGTGCTCACCTGTCATGGCGTCTTTCCTGGATGTGTGTTCACCTTTAGTGCTGTGGTAGGTGGCATTGCTGCCAGTGGACTCATAGTCCGTTTTCCTTTCTTTGAGGCTGATCATTTCCCGAGGTGAAGCTGGGGCACTTGCTGCATAAAGAAATGGAAAAGGGTGATTTTTGGTGTTCGTTCCATAGCATGTTCACCTTTTCACACAGTTAATGTCTGTCATAAATACACATGGCACAATATACATCAACATGTATCCATTTTTTTGTGTTTTGTGGGGATTTTTTTTTGTGCTCTTGCTCTGATCACTTTCCCTTACTCTGTGACAATTGGTGCTTTATAGTTATGGGGACACATTGACTTGGAGGCAGGCAATTAAGGATTACATCCTGAGACCATCTTCTTTAGAGAAAAATCCTGGCAGAGAACATAATCTTCCCAAGGTGTACATGGCAGTTTTAAGAGTGAGAATGGTCTTGTTTTCTTTCTTTTGCTTTCCCTTCTTCTAAAATTAGATCTGTTTCAGAGAGCTATTACAGCTTGAGTATCCCTAATCTGAAAGTCTAAAACACAAATGCTTCAAAATCTGAAACTCTTTGGGCATTGATATGATGCCAAAATGGAAAATTCCACATCTGACCTCATGTGATGGGTTGCAGTTAAAACACACAAAATTATTTAAAGTATTGTATAAAATTACCTCTATACTATGTGTATAAGGTATATATGAAACATAAATGAATTTCATGTTTAGACTTGGATCCTAATATACATATATATATAATTTCAAAACCCAAAAAAAGAAAAGAAAAAGAAAGAAAGAAGCCTGAAACACTTCCAATCCCAAGCACTGTGAATAAAGGATACTCAACCTACACTGATAATTGAAGAATCCTTTATTAAAATAAATGGGAAATGACTTCAATATGGAGTAACCCAGAAACTGCTCTAAAGGAAGGCAGAAGAAAAATCTCCTCACATCGGATGATTCATGAGGCTGAAATCACCAAGCCCACTGTACTCTTCTCCACAGTGACCCAGGGTGGGGTATGAAGGGTGCTCCCTTTTCCTATCAGGGTGCCCTGGCTACTGGTCTTTGGGTGATCACCCCCGCACTCTCCCTCACCTCCACTTTAGCTGCTTGTTGCCTGTTGGACCAAACGAATGCACCGTGCCACCCTGTGTCCCAATAGTTACAATCCTAGGAGGGTCCCTCTGGGGAATTTCACTTTTTTTTTTTTTTTTAAAACAAACTGGTACCAGAAACAGAGGAGAAGCTGCACATAGAGGCAAGGGAACAACCCTGAGAAGAGGTTTGTTTTCCCTGGGAGACTAGATAGACTGGCAGCACCTGCCAGTCCAAAACACAGGGGACAGTGGGCAATAGCAGGGCATTCTGGGACTGGAGGAGGGGCAGGCCTGCCCAACATGTGGGCCACCTTGGGTTGCTCACAGCTCAGTAGTCATGTGCTCTGTTGTCCCCCAAGATTCCTGCACCCTCACGCAGAGCTCCGTCATCTTGCTTAACCCAAAGAATCACCTGAGAGTTTAGGGATTCCAGGACCTCAACCCTGGACTTTTAGAGTCTGAATTTTCAGTGGAGGGGCTTCAGAACCCAAATTTAACAGGCATATTGCAATGACTAAGGCTGGTGCTCCCTGAAGAACTCTGGTGTTTAGCATAAAGCCCTCTTTCCTTTGCTAATGTCCATGCCCCTTTCCATTCAAGCCTCAGTCTACTCTTTAGTACATCATTCACACCCTGTGCAGGGGCCATCAGTCCCAGCACACTGGACCTGATTAGACCCTGAATGTGTGTCTCTTTCCAGTGTCTGTGTCCTTGGATTCTGCTTGTCAGTCTTACAAGATTTGTCTGTGTACAAATCCCTGTGCTAGCCAGTGCGGGAGGTGAGACTCATGCAGCTCTTTCCAACCTAGGGGCTCTCAGTTAAAATAGGAAATGGATGCACAAATAATCTAGAACCAGGCACAAGTGCTCAGAAGTCACAGCCAAGTCCTGGGACAGCAAACAGAAGGTGTTCACTTTACCTGAAAGGCCCTAAATCAACCTCCCAGACTGATCAAAATCAAAGCTCAATAATGCTCAGGTGTTGAAGCCCTTTGAGCTTTCCAATGCTGGCTGCTCATTAAAATTAATTACCTGGATCCCTTGAGTCCCATCCAGCATGGGATGGGTAGAGGCTCTGGGTGGAAACCCAACAGGCAGAATAGGAAAAAACCCACATCCACTGCAGCAGCCTGTAGTGCCCTCATTGCTCCTGAACATGTCAGACATTGCAACCTAGGGACACATCTCCCTGTGGCACAGGGAGGCTATACAGGTGGAGGAGAGGACACCCCAGTTCTGTGGCAAAGGGGAGATGGGAGATCAAGGGAGGTGTATGTAATGCATCATACTGACTCTTATGGTTCCGGAGCTAAAAGAGGAAACCTCAGCAAGAAAGAACCCCTGACAAGCCCACTCGGCTGTGCCCAGCTACTGCCTGCTCTTGGAACATGAACTGTGGGAACCTCATTCACCTTCTCCACCTCTTTCCAGTCTCTCTTTTCCAAGAAAGTTCCTCTTTTGACCTTGCTCCTTTATTTCTGAGTCTCCCTGCATAGAGTGCCTCTTAGGAGTCACTGCCATGCAATCATGAAGACACAATATTTTGGAGCCTCTTGACCAAAGCTTTTAAAAATCAGAGCCTAATATTGCACAGATGGTGGTGTTTATTAAACCCTGTCAAGTGTGTAATTATCTCCTGAGACCTCACACGCTGCAGCACTCCAAGACTCCAGTAAATCAGGATTAAGCTCTGGGAAAAATCAAATCATGCAAACAAGTGTTTATTAGGTGTCTCGATGTGCCTGGCCTAGGAAATACCAAGGCAAGACACTTGCACATCCAGCCCCATCTGCTCTGGAGAAAGCTGCTTCTATTCCAGGTGCCTTTCTATCCAGTATATCATTTCATCTTCCTAAAAATGACTGGTTTGCTGTGGTTCTTAATAACTCCAGCTTTTAGAAAGATGCCTTCCTTATGTATCCCAGCCTCAAGGCTCTTTATTATTTTAAGTCTTCCAGAATTGCAGAGTAAAAAGTAGAAGAGGCCACTTGTGTGCTTCTAAGTTAGGTGGAAGTGTCCCCAGTCACGGGGCTCCCTGATTCTCACCTAAGGTTGTAACAAACATTCCAAGCAACAGTCACACAGTAAACACATAAACTTTCACAAGGCTGGGAGAGGATGATTTTATTTCAACCAAAACCTTCCCATTAATTTCTCAGCTTTCTCATCGTTCTGACAGTAAAGTGTGGAGTAAAGTTTTATGATGGTCACCCTCAGGGGCAGAGAGGCCATTTGGCTGGGAAGGGCCTTCTGCCACACCCTCCAAGTTGCTGCTTCAGAAAATACCATTTCCCCAGAAAAAGGAAGGCAAGGAAGAGAAGGCTGACCTAAACAGAAGCTTAAGTAGTTTGGGTCTGTGTGGCTGCATAGAGTTATTTATCCTTCCTTCATTCTCTGAACAGAAATCAAAATGCAGAAACTGAAAGAAGGTTATAAAAGCACAATAAATCCCTGCCACTAAACAATGTGTTCATATTGTACCTTTTATCTTCCCTTCTAATCTTTGGCATTACTTAAAGTCACTGAAAAATAAAATATTTTTACAAGTAAAACAAATAAGCTTAAATTTAAGCAACAGGAATGTGACACAATTAGAAAAAGATACGTGGAGTAACTTACAAGTTATAGCCAATCGGCTATAACAAGAATTTGTTGATATGTAGGTAATGATAAGCTAATTGAATATGAAATACTTATGAAACCCTCAATGACATGTCAAACCAAAGGAAGAAACAGTGGCCCTGCCTCCTCTACTGTTATCCCAATTATAATAAAGAAAATGCAACTTAGATTTAAGTTGCAAAAACTGTCCCTGGAGAACTCTACGGTGCAAACTCTTGACAGTTTTTCTTATACTTTTTCCTCATTGAATGCAGGTTCATGGTAGGCATTCCGTGCCTCGAAGTCTGTTTGAGGGAGACTCGATCTGAATCTGCGTGTGAACCACACAGTTGCCACCATGGTAAAAGTAAACAGACTCCTTTCACATTCTAGCCAAGGTCTGAGTCTGGACAGTTCTCCTTTGTGAGGGGCTGGGAATGGGCACCTTCACTCAGAGGGAAACCAAGGCCTGGGTGGCCTCTTACCTGAGCGGTTGTTGGGAGACACACGCACAGGGGAGATGGAGGGTGTGCGGGAGGAGGAATAGGGTCTTTGCCGATCCCTCTCGATGGTTGAAGATGAGGCTACAAAGTGATATTGTGACCATCCATCCTGCAAAAGACAGCGTGCTCTTAGTAAACAGGGAAGGCAGAGTGATTTTTCACCTTCTGACATTGTGGAGTTCCAAGCATTTGAATTTGCAAAACATTTCTCCAGGATGTCAGAAGAGATTACGGAGCTGTGCACATCATCAAGGTTAGCAGAGACAAAAGGGAATTAAAACACACCACCTCCTCCTCCTCCTCCTCCTCCAGACAGCCTGGCTGGGAGGGCTGGCTTTCTTTCCCAAATGTTGAATAAATGGTCTCTTCACCAACTTGCTTTGGGCAGAGGCCTTTATTAAATGCAAATATGGTGCTCAGAGTGTCAAATGACCCTGAAAATGTCTATCTTTTGCCTACCTAGCTTCATTTTCTTTCCAATTGCCTGTGAATCTTTGAGAAGTGTTTGCTCTCCTGTCCTTAGGACCAATCTCTGAGTCTTCAGAATCCTGGGGCCTCAGGTTCCCTTCCTATTTATTTCCCTTGTGTTGCTTCAGGCTTCCTTCTCTGCCACAAATGCCCAATCCTCCTGTTTCAGGGCCTCAGAATGGCTGGTATGAATCCCACTGCAATGGTGCAGTCTATGGAATGCCTCACGAATCCCGTTTTCCAGTTTAGAGCATACTCAAAGTGTATCCTACCAAGTGTCCTTTGGCCTTGCAGTGTCTAGTTAGCATATGAAATACATATAGATTATTTTTATTACAAAGCCGTACAGTATATCATGAATCACTTTGGGAATTCAGAAAAGAGCTGATGATTCCATTCCTCTACCCCCAAAGAGCGCCTATTAATATGGCACAGTTTTCTGCCCAGTATTTCTTTTTAAATTCAATTACTTTTCTATCAAGGTAACATGTCAAAGCACCATGCAGGATGGCACATGCCTGAAATCCCAGGAGGATAGGGAGTCTGAGGCCAGAGAGACATAGTGAAACCCTGCCTCAAAGAACCAAATCACTCTTCTCAAGCCAAAGCAATGTGTGAAATAGTACTGATGTTATAAGAAGAGCAGGAACCTACCTTCTCCCAGTTCTTGCCTCACAGAGACAACTGTTTCCAACTCTTTTAGCTATTATGACTTTTAAGGGATCAAAAGCTCTATAAAGAATGAATAAGAAATGAAATTCATACTCATTTCAATATTTGTGTCTGTTTAGCTTTCATTATTCCTGTACTTTCTAGACTAGGAGGACAAGTCAGGACTAGAAGTAGGTTATTTTGAAATCTGCTACCTAGCACTTATTGGGTACTTACTATGTGGCAAGATTCTTCTAATAATCCCAGGAGCTGCATTCTGTTATTATCTCCACTTTACAGAGGAGGATCTTGACCCTTCAAAAGTAAAGAGGCCTCCCAAAGTCAACAAATAAAGCATGCTAAAAAATACTGATATTAAAATGTGATGTACGTACATGCACTTGGAAGAGACAGCAAAGCACCATTAGGGTAGAGCAAGGGTGGGCAGTGCTGGTGTGGTGTTTTGTGGAGTGTGGTCAGGAAAGCACTTTGAAGAATGAACACTGCAGCAGGGACCTGGAGGGTGACAAGGAGCTGGACATTGAGGACAGAGGTGGGGCTTACAGGTCAGGGGAAGAACAGACGTGTAGGCACTGGGTGGAAATGGGTTAGGCTAATGTGAGAACAATGGAAAAGCTTCCTTTTGAGAGTCGAGGATAGTAAGCAGAGTTCAGAATAGAGGCCGCTAAAGAGAGAGACCATGCTGGCTCAGAAGGGAAAGTAGAGAGAAATGGAAGGTTTGCATCTGTGTGAAGGATCTGCTGATGCCTTGGCTATTGGGGGTGGGTCAGAGAAATTAAGCCTTTTCCCAGGGCTTCGGGTGTGAACAAAGGGGGCTGGCCATTTAGTTCACTGAGGCAGAACAATGGGAGAGAAGCAGTTCAGGAGGGGAAACAAAGACTGCCCTTGGGCCAAATTGGGTTAGAAATGCCTGTAAGACAAGGAAGAGAGAATAGAGGTGCAGACTCTGCTGATCCGGATCAACAATATTCAAAGTAAGAGGATGCTGGATCCTTATCTGAATGCAAATAAAGGGAAGGTAGATGCTGAGTTAGCCCTGGGGCATGCCAGTATTTAGAGGGTGTGAAGAGTTACAGAAGCTTCTAAGAAGACTGAGAAGAAACCCAGTTAACTGGGAGGAGGACAAGGTGGGTGTGATATTAGGCAGGACTAGGAGAGTGGGTGCATAAAGAGAAGAAGGAAGACCCAAATAATAAGGAAGACCAAGCATCTCCATTGGTCTTGGGAAGAGGGAAACCTTTGTAATGGGAACAAAAGTACTTTCTTTGACCAAGTTGGCAAATATCTAATTCAAGCAGGCTCAAAGCCTAATGTGAACTGATGAAGGGGTGACAAGGAGTACAGACTGCTTTTGGCAAAGTTCTTGTATCAAGGGGAGCAGCGAAATGGGGCCGAAAGAGGGAGGGATCAAGAAATGTTTTAATATACTTCCCTGGGAGATATTGTGGCGTTTCATATGCTGATGTGAAATGACTCAACATTGAGAGGGAAAAAGCTGGTGACATAAGAAAGAGAGAGGGGGAGAGAGAGAGAGAGAGAGGCACAGACATAATCAAGAGATGGGGAGATCTGGAGTCAGAAAGGTGAGGACATTCTTTCTTGTCATCTCATGGTTTCTTGAGGAAGATGGGAATTGATGTCATCTGCTGCAAGTAAGGAGGGGCTAGCATTTAGAGACTAAGAGAGAGGGGGAGAAGGGAGAGAAGTGTGGAGCAATTCTGGGCATCAGTGGGGAGCAAGTTGGCTATGGCCAGGAGGTTGGGTGGCCTAGATGGTGGCTGGATGCTAGAACACTACTCGAGGGTGTGTGGCAATGGACTGAAAAAGCAGTGACTAATTAGCATGACTGTTTGCATTTTCTCAGCTGCTCTGGGGCAGGTGTGGAGTGGGTAAAGTTGGATGGAGATTGTTAGGCAAGTAAAATTGAGAGAGACAGGGAAGAAGAGAGCTGTGGAAGCCCACAGAATCTAAGCTGGGAAGAGGGGAAAGGATAGAAGGGAGGGGACAGAGAGTGAAAAGGAGTCAGTGGATGGGAGAGCCTGCTGGAGTAAGGAGTACTTCCTTGATGCTGGGGCTTTCTGGAGGAAGAAGGGAAACTTTAAAGAGCAATGAGGATCAGGGAGGAAACCTAGCCAGGGGCACGGAGCGGGACGGTGGATGGAAAATGTAACAACCACTTCTTGAGAGTATGTGGGGGGAGCATCCTCAGGGTCACTGAGTATCAGAGCAAGACAATTAAATAACAGGGGCCCTTGTTAGGCACTGGTGGTTCATGCCTGTAATCCTAGCTACTTAGGAGGCAGAGATCAGGAGGATTGCGGTTCCAAGACAAAAATAGAAAGACCTTATCTCAAATATACCCAATGCAAAAAAGGGCAGGCAGAGTGTATCAAGTGATAGAGTGTCTGCTTAGCAACTGCTGAGGCCCTGAGTTCAAACCCCAGCACCACCAGAAACAAAGAGGGCAGACAATAGATACCAGCGACTTTATTGCTAACAGATCATGAGTTAAAGGAGAAGAAAGGCTGGAAAGGAGAAAGATGGACTACTGGGGAAGATTATGGGCTGCCTGTGAGTGGTGAGTCCAGGAAAGAATGACGGATGACCCAGAAGGCTTGGGCAATTGGTAGTAGTGGAAATAACATGGAACAAAGGGTACAGGGGGCAAATGCCTCTCAGGGAAAGGTGGGAGTGTATCATAGTGTGGGTAGTAGGTAGGGTAGGATCACAGTAGGAGGAGAAAAGTGTCTCCACAAGAATTCTGTGGGTTTCTCTTAAATCCTCTGGAGGGTGATGGCAATGACAGGGAAAAGACAATTTTCATGTTTAGAGTGGGAAGTACTTCATTTATGGGGGTGATTAACATTGATTAAAAGTATACCCCTTTATTTTGAAAGGAAAAGTTCGTTGACTAAATATGATCCTAAATATGATCAAATGAGGGCAGATACTCTTACGTGTGCCGCACCTGCAATTTAAAAGGTATAATTTGGGGTTCTAAGTTGTGGCTGAGAACACAGTTTTAGTCAGAACTTTGGCTCCTTTGGTCACGAGTGAGTGATGATATTTGTGCATCCTAAAGGTGAGCATGGTATTTTACAATAATCATATTGGCTAATATTTGATGTGCTCTAAGACATGAGGAGACAATAGACAAATATGGCACAACTTGAGGTTTGGTTTTACTTGTTATGACATCAGTGGACTACTCAGCATCTCTCTCTCTCTCTCTCTCTCTTGCAGTGACTGGAGACATTTGTTGTTCAGCAGTTTAGATTAACACATAGCTTACATTGCTACCATGTAAGGATTCTCCATCTCTGGACATGTCAGGAAAGTAGATATAATAGCAAAACAGACTATAAAGGAGCTCTTACAAGGACACAAGCTTTCAAATCCTTCAAAATGTACGATTTTAGAGCGGCCCCGGAGAGGAGGGGCAGGAAGAAGAGTGAGCTCCTCCCTCCACCCTCTCATTCACTGATGCAGTAAAATGTGCGTGGCCAAGCTACAGAATTCCAAAATGCTGCATTCATCCGTGTGTGGAAGGGACTTTAAAATATGGTTCTGATGGGACATATTTCCAAATGTCACAGAAAGCAGTGGAACACTGGACGCAAGAGACCAGGGTACAGCTGGCCCAGGGTGTAGATCAATCAACACTCATTCTAAACCCAGTTATGCTGGATAATTAGTTACCTCGAGTATAAATCTCCTGGCTCTCTGTGTCTTTTATTATATGAATTTTATGGTCATTCAATTGAAAAAATGTTTTGATTTCTACATTAGAAGGGAAATGAAGATATATTTTCCTTGGGAAAGTTATTGTTGAGTTAATATTCCTTCTTTTCCACTAGCCTCGTACATATTTGTTATCTAGCCAGCTAGCAGTCAATCTATTGTTCATTTACTTCCTGCTGTCACTCAGAAAGGCTTGAAAATAGTCTACATAAATATGTGCAACTTGGG